CCCCGGGGGCGGTGGGGCGTGCCCGCCACCGGGGTGGGTGGGGGTTTAGCCGTATCCTGGAGGCGGTGGTGGGTACCCGTATTCAGGTGCTGGCGGCGGTCCCTTTGAGCTGCCAGCTGGAGGCGGGTAAGCGCTGTATCCCGTCACTGTCGGCGCCGATGGCCCGACCATCGGATACGCCGTCACGGGCTCATAACCCTTCGGCGGCGCTGCTGTTACGGACTCATAACCCTTCAGGGGCGCCGCCATCACTGGGGCGGCGACTTTGTCGCCAAATCTGTAGGAGAAATGAAGTTCGCCTTTTGGTTTTCCGGATGGTTTTCTGACCTGGTAAGCAACGAACTTCATGGAGTTGGGGTCAGCTGCTGCCGCCGCCACGGAGTCGAAGAGCTCTTTAACGGGGACGACGACTTGGCCTATGTCTTTGTCGCCGAGGCTGCGATCGCAGACGAGCTTGAACTCGAGGCTAAGGCGGTTGAGAAGAAGCTCGTCGAGGGTGAATTTCATGGGGAAGTTCCAGGTGGGGTGGGTCCCGCAGTCTTTCGCCACCTTGGTTTTGGTTTTCTGCTTGCCGTGCGAGTCGTCTCCCTGGAGTGAAACGACGGCGTATACGTCCATCTTGGAGACGAAGTTGACGTCTTTGAGGTCCTTGGCTGAGATGAGTTCGAGTTCTAGGGTTCTCTGCTCCATCTTTGAGAGAGCGAGTTGGGCTTGGAATTTGGAGGTGAGGTTGGGATTTGGGAGAGAGAGAAGCTGGTAGAATAGAAATGTTTATATTGTGAAAGTCTGAAAGATTAGGTCAACTCTTCGGAATGGTGATTTAGGTTCGTTGGCTTAGGTCAAGGCTTCCTTTTGTATAAAGAAAGAAAAGTAGAGGCATGGCTCATTGCTGGGAACATGGGATGAGAGATACCGTAATTAACAATATGCTTAATAATAATAATAATATATGTACATGATTAATCACTATAATACTAGAAGTATTAGGGATAGAGACAGGGAAAGTGAGGTATATTTGATGAGAGGGAATAGGTTTAGTGATGCGGTTGAATCCAAAAAAAGAAAAAGAACAAAGAAGTTCAAAATATGGCAAAAAAAAGTTTGATGTTAGCTAGTAGTACTTATTAGTAGATAAAGTGGGGTTTGAGTTTGTTAAAAAGGGATTCAACTATATATTATCACAAGTTCTTTTTTAACACAACCAATTGCATATAATTATGTGTCAATTCACGTGACGAGACAGATAAATATATTGTTAGATACAACTCATATTGTTAGTAAGAAAAATGCATATGTGAATCCGCGTTGTGAAAAGTAGTGAACTACACATGAAAAATGCTTAAGGTTTGGTTGACTAGTCTTTGTTTTGAGCACCATACACACGATGCCATAAGAAGGGAGAAGGATACAGCAGGGCAGAGCACAGTGGAGACAAGAAGGGGTAGTTGCATCCAAAGTTGAACATACTTTGGGCATCGCTATCAACTACGGAGAAGTCAAAGTCCATCTCAAATTGATTCCTTCTTCTTAGTTGCTTGCTTGTAATACTTTACCTTCGGAGAGAATAGTTAGTATTAAAGTAATAAGACTTTGAAATGTAAATGCTCGGAAAAATAAAAGTTAATAGACGGATATTGCTTGTCTCTTTCTAAGTAAGGAGATACTCCTCCTTTATGTGAATTACAGTTTGACACATATGCAAAAATAAATCATCAAAAACACAAAAAGATAAAATTCTGCACACATGTCACACTGCTATTGACAGGAACGTAGGAGCTTCTACTTATATAGTAAATATGAAAATATTTTCCATAAAGAGGGTCTTTGGAAAGCGAACGAATATCAGAGGGAGGCTAACAAGGCCCCGGGAACTTGCAGGCCCATCTTCCCGCCAATACCCAGTGGGGTTAAGGCTTCTCATGGGCTCTTTCTTATATTGGGCTTCTCTGGTCTTTATGAATTCTGGGTTTGTTGGGCCTGCTTCTGTATTGTTTTGCCTCCACTGTCTTCCATGAAACTCCTATCCTAAGCTCTAGTTTTATTTTTGTCCATATATGATTATACTCAACATGACACAAAGGCAAATTTGAAGTGGTATATGAAGGGAAACTCTTGTTTTGTCAATTATAATGTATAAAATGTTAATTATATATACGACTCATCGAACTCGTACCTAATATTGTTATTGTGACTCTTTATATTCTTGATAAGTTAACTTATGAAATAACCTAATTGTGAATTTCTACTACGCAATTAGAAAGTGATTGCATTAGTAAGATATTCTTAAAAAATCAATAAATGTATCCGATACACCACATGACATAAAATCTATCAAATTTTACTGTCATGACTCATGTTTATAGTAAGACTTTGATTCTTGCATTTCTCATCTTCGAACAGAACAAATAATTGCAAACGACCGCTCTAAAGAAAACGTGGAACACTTTCGCGTCTTTAACAATAGTGGCATAACATGAGATTGGGCCATGCTAATTATTATTTACTATAAGGAAATAAAAAAAATTTAAAAAAACGAAAATGAAAAAAATCGAAACAAATATCTGGTCAGGAAAATAATAAAATATGGTGTGGTTGGGGGGGAGGGTGCTAAAATGGACCACTATATGTCGGACGGGAAGGATTCTGTGAAGTGAAAATAGAAAGGTAGGGCTTCCGTTGCCCACCCGACTATCTAGCTGGCCCACAAAAACACCGCCCACCAAAATATAATATCTCCCTCCCTCTTCTTTCTTACAGGTCGCCGCTGGCTATTTTCTCTCTTTGCCCCCTCTCTCTCTGCTCTCTCAATCCAATAAGGCGGCAAAAGGCAATTCAATGTTGCCCCCACTCTCTTCATTGCCGCTTGTGCCCTCTCCAGGTTCCTCTCTTTCTCTCTTCAACTTTACCTTCTTTTTTTTTGCGTATTATTTCCTCATTGGAACCCTAATCATCTAGCAGGTTCTTGGATTTTGTTAATGTGCTCGTCGATTTTGCTTTTGGAATTGGATTTTTGGTGTTTCAACTGAATTGCATTTGAACGGTATTGATTTCTTAGGTGATAAAGCTTAGATTTTTTTTACCTGAGGGAGGTTTTGTTGGCAATGGAAGAGACAGGGCAGCTCAAGCGAGCCTTCATTGATGCTACGGCGGGTTTAATCGCGGGTGGTATATCGCGAACAGTTACGTCACCGCTCGACGTTATTAAGATTAGATTCCAGGTCCGTGAAACTTAGCAGTTAGTAATTTTGCAGGTTCTGAGCTTTGCCTTGTTTTTTACTGTAGCAAATCCATATTTTTGTTTTTGTATTTGTAAGTTATGCATAAGTTGACTTGGTAAAATGAAAGTGAGAAAAAAGGGGATATGTTGAGCAACATGTAGTGGATTTTGGGAATGTTTATTTATCAATTTGGAGTTTGGGGTATGCTTATTTCCGATCTATATTTTAAAGGTTGGTGGTGAAGTGAAGAAATTGTTCTTTGTTTTGGTTGATAGGTTCAACTGGAGCCCACCACTTCATGGGCTTTGCTTCATAAAAATTTGTCTCAACCGTCAAAATATACTGGGATGTTGCAGGCAACAAGGGATATTTTCAGAGAGGAAGGCTTACCGGTACAGTGAATCAATTTCTAATCATGGAACTTGCAATGTAATCGTTATCCACTTGCTCCTTGGGGCATTCCATAGAAGGAGATTTCATTCAGTTTTGCAAGGAAATTTATGTTTTCTCAAAATTTTATTCTGAGAATTTCTTATGACAGGGCTTTTGGCGTGGCAATGTCCCAGCTCTACTTATGGTTATGCCGTATACGGCTATACAATTTGCTGTGTTACACCAATTGAAAACATTTGCTGCTGGTTCCTCCAAGACAGGTACTTTGAGAATAGTCAATATCTTTTCCTTCGATGTTATCTTATGTGAACTCTTCACTTCACTGGAATACTAATTTCAATAGTACATGATTCTAGCATGGGTATGGTAACTGGGACTCAAAATTTGTTTGAAACCCTTGGACTCAACTTTGGATGTGGTTATATCTGATGTTCCCCCATTTTCTTATATGTCGTGATTGTTTGTTCTGATGCAGAGGATCACATATATTTGAGTCCTTATTTGTCTTACATCAGTGGAGCATTAGCAGGTTGTGCAGCCACTGTCGGATCATATCCATTTGATCTTCTAAGAACCTTATTAGCTTCACAGGGCGAACCTAAGGTATAGAACTCCAGCTAATGCATTGAATTATTACTATGTGCATGCCTGCATGTTTGTACATTAACTTTCAAACTGGTTTTTACTATCTATGACTGTAACCGCAAATCTGAGAGCATAGGAGTTAATGTTAGAATCTTAGATCCGTGTTATTCTTTTTAATTTCTTACAAAGTTCTGCCTCTTACTGTAAATGAGCTGTCCTTTATGCAATCAGAAGCTTTGAAAAGTGCTTAATATCAAGTGTTCTAAATTGCTTTCTTGTCTACCATGGGTAATTCTACTGCTTTTCATATATTAATGGCCAAAGTTTCAAACTTGATGCTGTAGCTTATTTATGGATTGGACTTAGTTCTTGGCATGGTGGTCTTGAGAGTTTGCTGTGGGCACGCTTGGTTGGTTTGACCAAGCTTGGGTTGAGACCCTGGTGCATGATTGTATATTAATTGCAAAAAGAATTGGTTGACCGAGACATTTGACACACTTTTGGGATTTAGGCAGGCCTGGTGGGCCTCTTTTTTGCAGGCCTATGATGACTTTCAGAGGATTTGGTTTGCATACAGCTTTTAGACTACACAGCCTTTAGCTGGCCATTTTTGTTTTTCACTATGAGGTTTCTTTGGGGTTTCGTGTAATTGTGAAGTAATTAAAGCTATATTACCAATAAATATTAGTACCCTAACTCAAGCCATCTTTAAAATTGGTTTCTGCAAAAACACCAATGTGAAGAGTTCTTTGGCATAATAGGACAGTACTAATATTTACCTTGATTTAGGTGTATCCAACTATGAGGACTGCATTGGTGGAAATAGTTAAAACTCGTGGATTTCGAGGATTGTATGCTGGATTGTCGCCAACACTGGTTGAGATTATTCCTTATGCAGGCTTGCAATTTGGTACATATGACACGTTTAAGCGCTGGACCATGGTAAGGTTCTGGTTCTGCTGTATCATTTTCCTTTTTGTGGGTATGAAGTTGATAACTTTATGTCCCCATGCCTTGATGGGATGGGACTATATCTTTTAGACTAGGTAATCAGATTTGTAAATGTTTTGGTTGAAATCAGCTTTGTATGTATATGCTGTGTGCACGTGCTTTCAAACTCACCATGACTTGAAGTTCAATAGCTAGTTGTAAAACATGACAGTTTTAATACTTGAATTCAAATAGTGTCAGTAATTGGAATAAAATTGTCCATCACTTCCAATATGTATTTGTGTTGTGAGGAGGGTTCTTAGATTAAGGAACATGTTTTGCAGCATGTTTCTTTCTGCTTAATGCACAACCTATTTGACAACAGTAGCCAGTCATAGTAAGATTTCACGTATTTTGTTGTGTTCATTGTAGACATGGAACCTGTATGGATCCTCCAATATAAACTTACACAGTAGAGAAGATGGTCTCTCAAGCTTTCAGCTTTTCCTCTGTGGTCTAGCAGCTGGGACATGTGCCAAACTTGTCTGTCATCCGCTTGATGTGGTCAAGAAAAGATTCCAGGTAGATATTTAGACTGAGCTCTGTCTCTACTTCTAGAACTTTCAGTTAATCGGGATTTTCATGCTGTTTAGCAATCATCCCCGAAGAATGCATCGGAAGGCAAATGTAGATCAAAATGCTTTCATGTTAATGCAATGAGGTTGGTTATATGGATCTTCTTGTTCAATCCCTGCAGATTGAAGGACTACAGAGGCACCCAAGATACGGGGCTCGGGTAGAGCATCGTGCTTACCGAAACATGTTTGATGCCTTGCGAAGAATATTGCAGAGGGAGGGCTGGGCTGGTCTTTATAAGGGAATAGTTCCATCGACGGTGAAGGCCGCTCCTGCTGGCGCTGTAACATTTGTGGCTTATGAATATACATCAGACTGGTTAGAGGCTGCATTGACTTGATCGAACTGTTCACTTGTAGTTTCAGATATTATTTTTGGATTATGCGATTCTTTTGTCCTTCGAGACCTTACAAAGCCCTCCTCAAAGGAAAGGAAGTGGGCACATTATTTTTGTCACGACCATAAGATTGTAATTAGACAGCAAAATGTTTGAAGATGAAAGTTGAGATTTGGAGCACCAAGATTTTTGCATCAGCATTTTGAGTCATGATTGAATTGTTTCTTTTTCTTTTTCTCTTAAATTAGCTGGTTACTTACTACCTCAAAATGAACTTATAAAACAAAATATAACTTTCCCATAACATGAAACAGATTCTCAATTTGTGTTCAAATCAAATACCTCAACAAAAGTTATAAGTTTGGTAATTGCCTTTCTCAGAACCCAAACGCTAGTTACAAAATTTCCTACATGTTACAGATGCTGCCAAAGTATAGATTCTCTGATATTTTCAAATTTGTATGCGAGCCAGTTTTATTCAACAGAAAACCCAACCAGTAGTGCCAGTGTTGAAAGGAGAATGGTAGACACCAAAGTTATCTGCCCGTGTCTTCTTCAAGGATTGTTCTTCTGTTTGCTGCTGTCCTCTGGGGGCAGTGACACAAACTGCAAGATCCTCCGAACCTCCGCGACATCAACCCGGAACTTGTCGGCGATTTGGTCCGCCTCCATGGGGCCATTGTGATCCTCAGCCTTGCCCTGATGGAGGAGGATTATGTGGCGCAGCTGCGCCACATTCAGAGTTCCTGGAGCAGCCGGCCTCTCCTCGTACCTGCCTGAATCTGGCTTTGTATCTCTCAGCTTTGGTAGAGGCCTCTTATACTTTTCCACCACAAATGCCTGCAGCACCACAATTACATCAATTACATGGCCAAAAGATATAAAATGCACCAATCAAATAACGAAACTAAAATTCAAAGACCCAATTGGAACTACTTAGTTTGAATTTTAACTATTTACATAACTTCAAATGAGAAATTAAGAGAGAGAAACTGACCTCACCCATCTCCAGTTTTCCTCCGGGCTTTGATTTAATTCTACCCACCATTTGATTAAGCATGGCGTCGTAGCTTGGATCTCGTTCTTCAAGCACATTCTCAACGTTGGCTGCTCCTGCTCCTGCTTCTGCTTCTGTTGCTGCACTACCATCTTCAGACAAAAACCAACGAAAACGACGCCGTAAATGTAATGAAATTGAGCTGAGAAAAAATGCGCGTAAAGAGGGAAGGGACAATCTCCGCCGTTTCGGTGGGGCCCAGAGGAGGAGGCCGCTTATCGACGACGACCGTCTTTGGCTTCGCCGACGTCGTTTCAATGCTGGAAGAGGGTCGGATTCTTCCAGCAGCTCGGCGAAGTGCCTGACCCATTGCCGATTTCTCCTAAAAATCTTGATTAAATAGAAAATCCCTCTTTAGTTTTTTAATGAATAGAATATAGGGTTTGGAAAATTGGAAAAGGAGGTGGGAGAGCAGAAGACGAAGATGAAGAGCAATGGAGATGGAGCAGTAAGTAGTAAACACTGGAGTGGCGCGTGGTGGTCTCCTTATGGACACACGTCTCGCTTCTGCTACTTGGCCTATTGTCCTACACAAGATACCAAAACTTGCCATGGCATGCCCCGTTTCTTTTATTTTCGCATTTTCGCTCCCTTTACACCTTTCTCAAAATATTTCCATCTATTTATTTAAGTGCACATCTTATTATTATTATTTTATTTTTATTGAGCACATCTTCTCATTTGGAAAACTCAATTTTGAGTTGTTTTATTTGTTCTTGTTTAAATAACGTTTAGACTATCGTTTGTATTACATAAATAAAGTTGGGGTTCACAAAAAAGCATTATTTTTGAATTTTAAATTTATTTTCAGTTTTAATTTTCATGTTCATATGATAGAGCGTTGTGCTTCAGAAGTTTCTTAGGGTTAAATGTTGAAGGTTTGAGAATATTTAGATTAGGTTTAAAAATCAAATTCAGTTTATCAATCATTCACATTTTTATACTATTTGAAAGCTATTGTTACAAATTACAATTATCAGAACACCTCTAGTTTTGGATATTGAAATATAGTTTTTACGAATCGAAACTAAGCTTGAAGATCATGGGTTTGACATGAAAGCCCCAGTTTTTTGCAACTTGGAAACCATTGCCTCCATTGCCTCTTTGAAGGATTAGACTAATGGTGCTAAGGGAATGAAAATGCAACAAACAAACAAACAAACAAAAAAAAACACACACACACACTATGTCTATAGGGGTGAAAGCGAAAATTCTAATAAACCACATAAAACATCTGCAATTTGACCCAAGAAGAAACTATAACAAACAACAGACTAGAAAATTGATTTCTGAGGCATGTCCATTTGCTATTTGGTCCCTCCTCCTGTCAATTTTTTTACTTTTTTGTTATAATGTCAAAAAAGAAAACCAAAATTAAACTGCTAGATAGCTAAATCAAGAACATGATGATGACCCATCCAGTACATAACAATCTGCAGAATAGTTGGTTTCACACAAAACAAGCTTGATCTTAAAAATAAGGCTTATTTATGTACATGCCCCATGTGCTTTCAAACTTGTCTCAGATTACCACCTATGTTTGCAAACGTCTCAAAGTATCCCCCAACATTTTAAAAACCGTCTCACGCTACCCCTTCCGTCAGTTTTTTTGACGTTCCGTTACAAAGATTGGACCCCACTTCTTTTTTTCTCCTCTTTCCCCCTCCCCATTCCAGAACAGCAGCCCCTCCCATTTGTTATTGTTCATCCGACCAGTTTTTGGGCCGCCATCTCCTCCTCTGGCCACCCTAAGTGACGAAATTGGTATCAAAAGAACCAGCACGTTATCCTATACTAGCCTCACATCTCAGCCTACCAAACGCCGTCTGGATCTCTGGAAAAAGCAAGAAATTGGCCGATTTTTACCCAAAATCTCCATCGCTCGTTCGGGCGATTCTGAGCACCATTTGCTTCGATCCAGGTATGGTTTTTCAACCTCTCAAACTGTTCTTGCTGCTAGTTGTGTTGGTTAGGAGAAATTTCTGAGTTTTGGAGGGTAAATAAGCGATGAACAGTAACAAAGGGGAGGGGCTGCTGTTCTAGAATGGGGAGGGGGGAAGGAGGAGAAAAAAAGAAGAAAAAAGGAAGTGGGGCCCAACATTCATAACGAAACGTCAAAACAACTGACGGAAGGGGTAACGTGAGATGGTTTTTAAAATGTTGGGGGTACTTTGAAACGTTTGCAAACCTAAAAATAAAACCAAAAAAATAAAAATAGAATTGCATATACAGTTCACCATGTAACATGAGTGATTAAATGGACCAACTCTTCTATCAATTTGAAGATATGTTTTAAGGAAGAAAAAAAATAACTTCAGTTTGCATCTCAAAATGTGGGTAGAATGAATTTTCAATGAAATTGTTTAATAATGCAGAGATTCAGCCAACATTATTGATATTATTATTTGTAATTTTGATAAATCAATGAAACTGTAAATGAGGCTTTCACATGTGAACACCAGTAGCCGAGTTCGTTTCTACTAGCATTTTTCTACAAATGACAAGGACATTCATAAACTCCATGCATTCTGTCTGACACTGTAATTTGCAAGGCACTAAACTGTAATAGGGAAACTTAAACGCTCCATTTATCTTCTGCATAACACAAAACTCTACTCATTATGGACAACTTCACATGTAAAACGATACGAAACTGTTGTCATCAATCTAAATTCAACCAGAATGTTTGCTACACTACTATTATCAATTGGCAAGCATGTGTGCAGACATTTGATCAGAATGCAAGCAATGCAGCAGTCACCTGACTTTCGTTGACATTATGGGTTGGTATTGCAACTAAAAAAATAAAAATAAAAAGAAGACAAACCACTTTAAAGCAAATTGTACATGAGATACAGTATTGATTTATCAAATGCTGTTGAACTAGGAGTTGAAGGGAAGGCAACTTTTAACTCTCATCTTGGCTTTCCGATTCTTGGTGCCGCTTTGTCTGATGTAATGGCTCTTGCAAAGACATTACTAATCCGACTCCCCTATGTGAAATTTGTATGTAACACCATATACAGTGCAGAAGAAAGAAGAGATTGTTAGCTTTGCTGTATATCATAACGGTTATGATAGCAGCCAAAACCAGCAGTCTCTGTTGTATCCAGAAGCTCCATGCTCAATTTGTAAGTTGGATTTTCAGCAACTTATGAAACCATGTCAACCTGGCTGAACCCATCTGCAGTACTATTATGGATAGCGGCTGTGGTTTCCTGCATATTGAAATCTGCGAGACTAGCATCAAAACTGTCAGGAACCCTCTTCCTAGTACGAGCACGACGAGATGGCTTGGAGCTGTCCCCAGGAAATGCATCAGTACTCTTCCGCTTCTGCTTTGTGTCTAAAAATCCACAAGCAAAAGCTTCCAGTACCTTAGTGGTCAGTGGTCGATTTCTTGTGCTTTGTCTCCGGGAGTTAATTGTAGGCTGCTGTTCAGAAGTACCCCTACATTCGGAGGATTTCACTGAATGGGGTTCATCCAGTTCCTGGCTTGTTTGATCATCTTGTCTTTCTATCATTGTGAAAGGTTCATCAGTTTCAGCATCTAGAGAAATGGGGATGTCCCACAAAGGGTGTTTCACCACTAAAGACTGGGCTGCCACCTCTAGATGAAGTACTGGTGGATGATAACTTCTCTTCAGATGGGTCCATTTGAGAGGGAGTTTTCTCACTAAGTTCAAGATGGCCTCCAGAGCTGCATGCATCTTGTTGTAATAAGCGACCTTGCAAAACGTGGTCCATGCTGCGTGTGGTCTCTGCTCGACTACAAGCAGCTAATCGACGTCGTTTTGAAACAGGGGCAACATGATTTTTATTTTGAGACACCATTTTCTGGCTCTTTTGGCACTTCATAGCTTTTCTGGGCTGCATGTCATTGCACATACCTACGTTATCATCCTTGGGAATATCTGCACCTTGGACAAAAACTTGATGCTCCCACTTTGAAGTATCATATTCAAAATATTTGTCATCTTTTCTACCCAAGCGGATCTTTATGGCCTTGGGAACATTGACTTCATCCCTATGCGAACACAAGTTATCAGCAGAAATGGATTTATCTGTTGACTCAGAAGCATCCCCATCATCATCTTCAGAATCACTACTGGAGGTGGGAGTGTTCAATTCAAATGGTAAGCTTCGCAATTCCCTCACCTTAGATGTCTTCCCATTAGACAGACTTGTATCCACAACGGTAAACTTCACAACATCTCCATTACGTTTTGGAGTACGAGGCTTCAGATAACAGTGGCGTTGCTGATTAGGGAAATCTTCTTCGTCCAGCTTTGTTTCATCTGTCCACCCATTTTCATCCTTGCTTCCGGAACCTTTATTTGCTCCCATATCAAGCTCTAGAAGCTCGGGGTCTGAAGCAACTTTACTCAGGACGTCGGTTACAGAATCAAAATAGTGGCTTCCCTTCACCAGTTTCCTTCTTGAGAACTTCTTAATCCCAGGGATTAGAAAGACCAAAGAATGCTTGGAACCAGTGGAAAAACCATGGCTAGGCTGCTCAGAGTGCCACCCTCTGGCAAGCAAGCGAGGCCAGACAGCTTCCCAAAATAGATCACTTGATCGGGCTTTGCTTAGCCGGAAGTCCCCTGTTAGAAAGTTGACTATTTCCAATGGTGTAAGTGTGGAGCATGCTTTGCCAATTGGTATTTCTGGGCGAACAGGAACAGCCTGATTGGACTTTAAAGTCTCTGTGGCAATGCCTGTGAGATCTCGCTTCCCTTTACCGATTCCCACTGCCTCTACAAGAGCATTCAATCCAAATCTAGCCTTTAAAATGAATACATACTCTTCTAGTAAAATTTTTCCTTCCCCAAATGTCTTCGATACCTGGCAATTGGTCAAACAAAATTAGAAGGAACCATACCCTGACATGAACAAATAAAGAGCAAACAGTCATATCAGCAAAATCCAGGGCATGTCCCCGCTGCCCAATATCTGATTATCTGCATTATAGGATTTCATTTTGAGCAATCAATGTTATATGTTACTGTTAGTGAATCACATGTTACTTCCACATTGGGTAATTAGAGGTATCGTGTGTCACATCAGAAAACATCTGAAGGACGCAAGTGGCAGATATGGATCCACATGCATCGCAGGCATTTGCTTCTCTTTCTTCATCAGAAAATATAAAGTTCTCTGCTACATTATGCATTTTCTTATAGAACTTTTTTATATATAACTTATGAATTTTCAAAGGTTTGCAAATACAAGCAAAACAACTAGTTTAGCATACTTCTGTTTGTTTACATATTAATGTGTATGTGCAGACAGGTTGATATAAATCAATCCACATACCATAGGTCAACCTTATTATAAAGTTCTGGTCAGATGTAATTACCTCAAGCAAAGTATTTTGGCATTCTACTGACACATCAGGAAGCAAACGAGATAACAGCTCCTGTTGCCTTGACCCTGTAAATATTCTTTGTCCAAATATACATTTTCTACTCTTTCTTTTCTGGCATTCTGACCATCTCCTGTATCTGTCAGACCTGTAAAATTTCCCATAGTAGAACGATAATATATCACCCATCTTTTTACTCCCAACAAAGTTCTTCACCAGAATGAGGTTCTTTCCAAAGATATATAAACCAAGAAGAAAGCTGGCTTCTTCTATGTCACTCCAGTTGTCACCAGCGGAACCAGGAACCGGACACCCTCTTCCAGTATCATTCTGATGCATTTCAGTTATCACTTCTTGCTTCAAAGCAAACTTTGCTGACTCGCCTGATATTACCCCATGATCGAACTTAACATCCATTGGCTCAACTTTGCATTTGATGTTGTCACTTGCTGAAACAATCAGGGTCTCTCTGACATGTTCAGATTTCAGCGACTCGTTTTTATTGGATACATAAACTGCATCATGAAAAGCAGTCTCTGGTTTATGCTTTTTGCCATCAACTCCCTCATTGATCCACATTACTGGTATGGGCAACCCCGCTATTAAACCATAGGAACCACCAGCAGCAATTTCTGCAACAGTTGGGTTCTTTAAAAGCCAGAGATAGTCTGAAACGGCTATTAGAGAGGGAACTTCAACCTGGTACTCATCTCCAACTCTAGGAGGTATCTCAGGGTCACCAAGAACACCAGATCTATCAGAAGCTTCTGGAGAAAATGAATTCTCAGCAAATTCATCCTCATTGAAATCCCCGTGGTGGTTTCCTTCAACTAAATCCATCTGCCATATGAGATTGAGGGGAAGAGGGGGGTTGAAATGGTATTGTTAAAGTGGCTTTCTGAGACAACAAGAGAATTAATTTTTTTCCTTTCTTTTCAACAAACAATATATAAGGCATGAAGTTCATAAGAATTGTGAAAATTAATTTGCCAATATATCCTGATCATATTTTGATACCATATTAAATGATGGCCAACTGGAAAATATAGAAAATAATATGAAGAACATAGCATGCTAAACCATGAAGGAACATCTCCTCTTTCATTACACAATAAAAAGAATAATATAGCTTTCTTACTAAAATCCCTCAGGATAAAAAAAACCGATGACAATATTTTACACTTTTCTGATACCTTTCAAAATTTGCCAGACTCAATTTTTCATTCTGATCAACGTGGCCAATCTAAAGGCTTCTGTTTCTAGGATAAAGAACAAGCTAGACAAGGTGGTTTGGTCATCCCTATTTTACAGTCTATCGAAAACGAAGCAGTCCAAAAGCATTTGAACTATTACTGTTGCAGGCTCGTCAAACATGCCAGGTAAAGCATTGATTCTAATCCTAGCAATACACATTGAAGTACTCATGCAACCGACAGCAATCAATCCTAATCGTAGTAAACCATTATTCACAGATAGAAAGAGATGGGGGTTTTCTACAAAAGAAACTGACAAGTACCAATGTCAAAATTTCAAGAAGACTAGATGCGAAGTACCAAAAATATAATGCTGTGTACCACCAAATAGAGGAACACACGTTCAAAATAAGCAACAGTTTTTCGTGGATAGAAAATAAACAACAAAACAAAAATTATTTTCCTGCATTTATTTTTTAATTTTAAAAGTTTATTCATACACCACGAATTATCGTAATTTTTTTGTTGGTAATAAAATGATCGTAAATTTTCAAAAGAAATAAAAATCCACTAACATGTCTTTTTAAGCATCACCCAGAAGAAATACAAGCAAATAGAGCATGACGCAGCAAACTCATAAACAAATAATCAACCCCAGATCCATTTTCGAATCCAGTCTAAAACCGACGCAACCCCACAAGGAAAAACATAAACTTTCATACAAAAATCACAAAACCCATTAAGCACATTTATCACAAATAACAAAACTAAACATAATCACAACCAAAACCAACAAAACATCCAAAGCTTTAAACTTGAACAAAAATAAATAAAACCAACATAGAAAATAAATGACAATAAGCATAGCAAGCACACTTAGACAAACAAAAACCACTGTCCCAGTGAGAATTCCAATACGATCCCATAAAATTCCACTTATTTACTGAACAATGACCCTTAACAAACACAAAAAGAACTGCATTGAATCGTACAAATAAGAAAAAACAGCAGCCCAGAAAAGAAAAGATTTGGTTTTCATTACTATACCTCCATGGACAAAGAAACGAAATTTGAAGCTGAAACTCACGTGAAAGAGCAGGCCTGAGAAAATGGGTCTTCAAGTTTGAGCACCAATTTGCAAGTTATAGATTAAAAATAAACAAAGCGTGAAGCGCACACACGCAGAGACACACAGAGACACAGAGTCTCTGTTTAGAGAGAGAGAAAGAGAGAGAGAAGAAGACACACATACACACTTGTACATGAAAATAGAGAGAGGAGAGAGAGAGTTGTACCTGGGTTTTATAGAAGCTAAGCCTTCATGACCACGAAGGCTGATTTCTAAGAGAGAATAAATATGTATGAGAAAGCAAAGTCGTTGTGTCCTTGGAGAGAGAGAGAGAGAGAGAGGGAGAGTCTGAGTGTTTTCTCTTTTAGTGAGAGAAAGAGGGGGCTCTGGACCGTTTAAAGAGGTACGAAAGTAATCTCTCCACGCGCCCCACGGCGCGTAATAATGAGTAGCTTGGAGTATTTGACACGTGGCACTAAAGATTCCTACTGCGATCGACCGGCCCAAATTTGCTACATAATGGCCTGCGTAGCCCTGGGCCCAGGCAATAATCTTCTGCCACGTATGTGGGTGATAGGAGGTTGGGTTAAACGACGGGTCGTTGTGATTGTGATTAGAAGCTAGAATTGCAGCCATGGTGATTGTTGCATATTGTGGCCCTACGCACTCTATGGCGCGTATTGATAACTAATAGTTGTTTGGATTGCATTTAATTGTAAGTTTTTTATTTTTCCAAAATAATCATTTGGAGGGATTTCTTAAATATTGTTTGCGGAATTTCTTAATAAGGAAAGGCTCAACGTTCAATTCACGTGAGGTTTGGCTATTAACTGAGTCAAGCTGTGGCTAACTCGGAGGACAGAGCCTCTTAAACATTAAACATGGAGTTAGGTAAAGGGTTAACTTGGGCTTAGCTTCGTAACTCATACCAAAATACCACACAATGTTGCCAATTAACAAAGGAGGAGGTGATTAGCAGCAAAATAATATAACATATCAGTAATGGACAGCGCGAACTGAGTAACTGACTATCTGAACAGATAACGTTACGTATGCGTCTGGTTTTATTCTCTTTAACTTTCTCTTTTTCCTTTGCATGTACTGACAGTGGATAGAGAAATTTTGTCGTGTACAATTAATGGCATTTGAATACGTAATCTGGTTTGTGGATTCGGTTTTATGACACTGGATAGTGCTCACTAACGCGCATACTGCCAACAAAAGATAAACTTGTATTAGTGTGTGCGAGGTAATGCTTTCTTACCAAATGCTTTGATATATTGGGTTACAAACTACCAATTATGCATGGAGTAGTGTATGAGATATGAGGCAATGTTATGTTATGAAATTATCAATCCATATAAATGGTAAGATGGAACATATTTGAATGTATGCAATTGACATTCTTTAGATATGGTGTAATAAATTGTCTTTGTAAGAGATACTCTTTTGTTCTCCATGTTCTTTTTGCTACATTCAATTATTTTAAGTAAGTAATATCGTATATAATTTATGACAAAATCTCACAGAAGTAGCTAAAATCACTTCAATTATTTGCTGCAAATAGCATCCACCGTTAGATCAAATAAACGGCTGTGATCTACCCATTTGCAAAGATGTAGTTTTACTCAGTTTTAAAAAGAAAAATCCCTTCATGCTTGCCTGAAGGCAAAACGCCCCTCAAACCTTTCATGTCTAGTTTCATTTAAAAAAAAAAACCATAATTACATGCTTAGTTGCTTTGAGAGAGTTGTTTCTATTTTTGGAGATCATTTCATAATGTTGACCTATCTTCTTTGGGGAGGAAAGACAGCAGCAGCCGAGCCAACTCTCTTCTCCTTCTAATTTAAGTAATCGCCTGTGAAACTTGTTGCCTACTCAATTTATTTCATTAGACAAGAAAAATATAACAATAGAGGAATTAAACCCTAAAAAAAAAAAAAAAAAAAACCTAATTCACAAACTATCATAACAATAGAAGAATTAATACTAGACACACCAACTTATTACACTGACTTTTGGACATTAACTGACGTGACAATAGTTTCTTTTGTTTTCATTACAGCCTCATTCTGGATTTTCCACATCAGTTGGTATCCACGATCAAAAGTTTTTTTTTTTTGGGGACGAAATCCACGATCAAAAGTTGGTGTAATAAATGTGTGTTGTTTTTTTGATACAAGTGATTGGAGAGGGGGTTGACTCAAATATTCGAGTGTTAGGGGGTTTTAAACTTTTGCCCACATAAGAGCATCCGCAATAGTGAGGGTTATTTCAATTTTATTTCGATAAATTGAACTTTTGACTTGCAGTGGTAAAATTCAGTTAATTTCAGACATTAATATTTCATTTCAGGGATCAGTAGTTCATTTTAGAAGTCAATAAAATGAACTCTGAAATGAAATTCATTTCAATAAGCTAACCCACCATAATAACTCTACAACCTCTTTCTTATTGACACATGGACAACATTAATTTTTAATTTATAAGCTATTTGAACTGCACCACTGCAAATTAAATTACAGTTCAGTTCAATAAATTGAATTACTAAATTGAACTGAAATGAACTATTGAGTAACCATCACGAATGCTGTAAGTAGAAATAAAAGAGCTCAACCAATTGATCTATTCTTCACTGGCACATATGTGCGTGTTTAGTATTATTGAACGGATTGAATGACATGCCAAGCTTGCGACACTAATCCTCCATGTATTTGATGACGTTTGCATTACTGTCGGTCAGTTTTCATTGATCAACTGTCATTTAATTAGTGATAGTTGTAGTTGTACATGATCAATTATTATATCATAAGGATAGGATAACTCTTTTTTTTTTATTTATTATTTTTTATTTTTATAAATTTGAAAAAACTTTACGTTAGTGAGGAAATAAAAAAAAAGGGCTGCAAATATCTTCCAAGAAAAGAAGAAAAAAGAAAAAGTAGGTGTGGGTGTCTACGTGTCTTTAGTCAATGAAGCCACTCATTCACTTCTTCCATTATGCTCGTCTCCCTGCATTTTCCTTTCTCCCTCCATAGCAGGTCACACCACGTATCTGCGAAGGAACAAAAAGAACTTCGTGTAGAAAAATTATATTGAATTGTTCTTTTATTTTTATCAAGAAGGATTTCATTAAAATTGGAGAAGAAACAGTGGGATTAACAAACGAAATAAAAGAAAATTGGGACGTTAAAATATGATTTACAAACTAACACAACGATAACATGGATCCATGCATCCACGCATTACATGCATCATGTAGCCGCGCTTCTTGCCTCTACTTTGAGTTCAAGATTGCGTGGATGTGCTCCCACTCTTCTATGCCTCTACTTTGAGTTGCTTCTACTCATCTCAACCGCTGCCCGCTCTCCCTCCCTGAGCATGATCCAGCTCTGAGCTGAACCTGGTGAACTTGGCTTTCGCCTCAACAAGATCCTTGCGTTATGGCCAGTTGTTCTTGGATGAGACGGAGCTGTGTCTTGGCTGCAGTAGCCTTGTGCCTATCCTGTTCAGCTTGGTCAAGCTCAATAACAAGGCTGGCCTCCAACTCCATCTTTGTCACTTGGTCATGTTTTTCCTTCAGGATCTTGATGGTCTCTCTTGATGAGCTTGGAAGAAGTGAACAAAGCCTAAAAAACAGCGAACATGACATATTAGCACAAGCAAGTACAAGCAGCTGAGTAGTAACAACACTTAAGGTCAGCACAGACCTGTGCACTCTGATTGAATGATTTCTTCAGCAGCTCTTTAGCTTTAAGGTCCTTGGACTTAGATTGCCCGACTTTTGGGTCCTTGACTGCCATCCCGACCCAATTCATAAATAATTGGGCACATGACGATAATGACAAAATTACAACACCAAAAATTCAAAATCCAGGGCACATCTTCTGCCCATTATCTGATTAGCTGCATAAAATGGCTTCATCGTGAGCAACCAATTTCTATGTTGTTTCTCTTTTGCCAATAATAAGTTGCTCACATAGTGGCAAATTAGAGCTATCTCATCTGCCAACATAAAAAATCTGATGGATGCAACTGGCAGATAAAATGATGGATCCACAAGCATCACATATTTGCACATACTTCCCTTTTGTCATCAGAAAATGAAAAGTTCTATGTTGGATTAGTACATTTTCTCATATGGTCCTTTTATACAACACAGATAATAAGGATTTTTGCTAGGATTTACATAACATGTACAGTACAAGCAACCAAAGATATCTATAAATTCAATTTGAGTAAGCAAGAATCGATAGCAGAAGTTATCGGTTAAAATATAAGTAATGCCCAGGCTTTGTATTGCTACTTCCATCCTTGAATATACTTAAAACTAAATCTTTGTACAGACCAATATCCAAAGTCCTGTAATGCAAAATCAGATGAAAAGAGCTTCAAGTTTTACTAGAGAAAATTCATGAGCAAAATAGTCATCACACGAATAAAACTCTCTTGCTCAAGCTAAGAAACGCATAATTCAAGACCAATCACTTACACATAATTTGACTCTACAAAAAAAAAAAAAAAGACAGGCCAGCAGAAGTGTATTAAATTCAGACATTAGAACAAGAACTTTTTAAAAGGAAAGAAAACTTAGGAAAGTACTAGTACAGATATTGTCCCAATATCTGACTTACTATTCTTGGCTCAGAATTGGGTTTTAAGTTGTCAGTTATAGACAACCAGAGTTTTTCTGACATGTTCAGATTTTAGAGACTCATCTTTATTTGATACATTAACTACAACATCAAAAGCCTCTGATTCATGCTCTTTGCTCTCAACTTCCTGATTGATCCACATTACTGGTATGGGCAACCCATTAGAAAATTATAGGGACCATGGCCAGCCATTTTTGCATAACTTAGGTTGTTTATAAAGTAAGATATAGCTTCTAGTGGAGGAACTTCAACCTGGTACTCATCTCCAACTCTAGGAAGTACCACAGAATCACCAAAGAAATCACATATATCAGAAGCTTCTGGAGGAAATGAATGCTCACCAGATTCAACTTCATTGAAATCGCCATGGTGATGTTCTTCAACGGAACCCATCTGCCAAATGAGGAGAAAAAAGAAATGGTACTATTAAGTTGCTTTCTGAGACAACATAAAAAAGCTAGCTTTTCCTCTTCCCCCTTCTGTTCAATGAACAATAAATTAGGCATGAAAGTCAAAAAAATAAATGAAAATTATAGAATGACATATCCCAATTTGAAATTTATAGTGTCATCCGCACGATGTTCTAACACCACTATACCAAGACAGTAGCCAAACAAAAAGGACAAATAAAACATGAGAATGCATGCTAAAGTGAAAAAAAACCATGAACACTTTCTCTTCCATCTTACTATGAAAAGTGTTAGTTCTTCATTAATCAAGCACCAAGAAAAAATCAAAGACAATTCTACAATTTTCTGATACCTTTCCTTTCAATGGTTCAGTCACACCCACCTAGTTTCAGTCTATCGAAAATGAAGCAATCCAAATGCCTTTGAGCTACTAGTATTACGGGCTCATCTAAAACATACCAGGCAAAGTATTGAAACCCTGCAACTGACAACAATCAATCCTAGTCAACCACTAATCACAGAGAGGAAGAGGATGAAGTTTCTACAAAAGCAACTGGAAGTACCAATTAACTAAGTTTCATGCGTATTAAATGCAAAACAAAAAGTATAGCACTACGTACCTCCATCTATAAAGCAAGCAACACCCCAGAAGATACATATGCAAATAGCACGAGGCAGCAAATTCATAACAAAATAATCAACCCCTGAATTTGTTTTCGAACCCAGACTAAACTCTAAGCAGCATCACTGTCAAAACCAAAACTTTCAGACAAACATCTCAAAACCCATTAAGCACATTGATCTCAGATAGCAAAACCAACATAATCTCAACTAATTACACCAACATCATTCCGAGTTTCAAACTTCATGATAAATGAATTAACTCAACAGAGAACAAAATAATGCAAAACAATAACTTACACACAAAAAAAACCTTCGACTTCCCTCTGAGAACTCCAACACGATCCCATCATTCTCAAGGAACAGTACAGAACACGCAAAGAACATTGAGTGGTAGAATAAGCTGAAACAGCTTACATACATCCATGGACAAAGAAACAAAACTTGACACCAAAACCCACCCCAAAAGGAGCGAACCTGAAACTGAGAATGGGCTTCAAGTTTTAGCACGAAGAAGTGTTTTAAGTTTAGACTCGTTAATAAGCTATACAGACTAGACTAGTGGTTTGGCCCAACTTTTAAAGTGCTAATTATGAAAAGGTGCGTTATAAAAAATGCAGGATAAATTTCACTTTACTACCTGTAAGTTTCACGAGATTTAGATTTTGTTACATTAAGTTATTTCGTGTCAACTTTGTATCTAAAATTTTATATTCTTACCACTTTTATACCTTTGTTAGTATATCCAGCGAATCCTCCATTAATGGGCCCGTAAAGATTCACTCGTATTGCGCCATGTGGATCAATAAATATAAAAGATAAATAAATTAAATGAATTAATAAACCTAAAATGTTTTGTGGATTTCTAATTTCTTTCTTTTTAGTATTTCTTTTTTAAGATTCATACAGATGTCACCAACTCATTGGTGGTGGGGATGGTTTGACAAAATTGCAACCTAAAAGCAACGCAAAGTTTGACAGAATTAGACAACATGAACACTATTGGTGTTGGGGACAAAATAAAATATAGAAAACGACATTGATCCATTTTGAAAATAGATGACCAAAATGATGACTTTTGAAAACGTAGAGACAATTATGCCTTGAATTAATATTCCAACTAGCTTTTCACTTCAATGTGAATATTTACTATTGAACTACAAAATGTGGAGAATATTTCTTTGGGCGCAAAACTAGCAGCGGCCGCTAATCAAGAAGAAAGGACACCATCAAAGGATGTATTCTTAAGATTCTCAGTACATCTTCAATTCATCCTAGGATTTTTGTTTTTTTGTTTTTGTTGTTGTTGTTGTTCTTTCTGTTGAACATCCTATGATTAATTTAATTTAGAGTATTTGCAGTCTGTGAGGTCTTACTTTGTTTAATTAAGGTTATTTCCACCTAACACTCAATTTATCATCGTATAAATTGATTTAAGTGCCACTTAAAGAACATATTAATTAATAATATGAAGCGTGGCAATAGAGTTAAACATGCCTACGATAGCAAAGGACTTATTACTGTAGTAGTTTGGAGTAATTGTTTTATCAGAAAAGATTCTCGGTTCACGAATGTGTAGTATATTATCTACCTTATCAATAAAAAAAAGTCAAAGATATATTAGTACAAAAGAGGATGTAGTTTAAAAATCTCAATCAGTGGATAAAAAGGGTTTTGGGTTGGCAATGTTTATCCGCATAATCATCCTCATCACCTTAAAAACAGGACAAGTGAAAATGTCACCAAGATTAGTCGGTTTCACAAAAGGACAACCTTTTTTCTTTATTTACATTTAAATAATAATAAGAAAAACTTGTAACTTGCAGTTACCCAATAAACCGAAATTGAGTTTGAGACAAGCTTTTAGACAATAATATTTGGATATATATTGATTGCTTCCTTTCCTGTAAGGAGATACTTATTCTTTTTGCAAATCACAGTTTGACATATGAAAAAATAATTCATCAAAAACTCAAAAAGAAAAACTTATGCACATATATCACATTGTTATTAACAGAAACGTATAAACTCGTACTTACATGATAAGGAGCCATAAAGGGAGCCATAAAACCAGAGAGCATGTATGGCTGACTGGATCTTAAGTAAAATACTTACTTCCCCACTCATCAGCCGATGAGGAATCTGAGTGTATCTTCTTTATGATGAAATGGAGCCATTGTTATAAAGTACTGTAAATATATACATATGCAACTCCAATTATACCCAAAAGATTGCTTGTCGATTCGAGTGCATCTCCCTTTCATCATATTTACGGGGAAGGGAAAGCAGATGCGATTACAGATTTAAGCCATTCTAACTATTTTTTGTTTCTACGTTAAGGACAGACTGGGCAGCTTCTCTCCTCTTATCTGCGTCTACATCAACTTCTATTCTTCTGTTTTTCTCCGCAGTTATTTTATTCTTCTTCCCATTTTCTTGTTTTTCTCTCCTCTTGTCAACAATTCTCTTCTAATTATCTCCTTTCTACTTATCTTATGCATCTTTAATTTGAAATTGAGTATTCTAGGTTTAATTAAGAATAAATTATAAGTAGGGGATTTTGTTGAAATTAATTAGGGCTTTGATTTTAGGAATTTTGTTGAGATCTCTTTTGATTTGCTGTTGGTATTGTTGAGATGTTTGATTAAATACATTGATGATATTATGAGAATTAATTTTTTTTTTTTAGCGTGATCCATGATTACGTTGTCTAGTTTTAGTTTTTGTATTTGTTAAACTTTTATTTATAAATAGAAATGCATTTGAGAATAAATCGCATAACATACCATAACTAGGTGTATCCTTTTATGTTTATTAATGAAATTCACTCATATTGTAGAGTTTAGTATGTAAGTTTTACCCAGTTGGCATTCAAGTCCTGGAACTGCCACTATATCGACATTTTGTTGCCTTTGAGACTTATAATCATTCTAGTAATTTTTATTATTATAAAAACTACCAACTAATTCTAAGTAGCTACACTGTCCATTTCAACATTACATCCCATTGCCAAGTTTGCCTTTGGCTTTGTATGCGTCTCCCACCAACATGAAAAATAAAACAAATATGAAAAGTAGTAATTAAAGCCATAAATATGCTGTCGCATGGAATGATGTAAACTTCAGTAAAACCTATGTTGCATGATCATTAATTAACTCAAATTCCGTACATAATACAACTTTTCAAAAGATTAGGTGCTTAAAGATTTGGTTTGAATATTATCCACGCGATCCACATGAATTATTATTATTGTGCATTGACATTATAAATAAATAAAATTATGCATCCACATTCCGCATTCCACAAACTTATAATTATTATTTAAACGTACATGCTTCAGAGCGTATTGGTGAAGCACGTATAAAGTGCTCTAAATATTAATGCGGAGGGAGGCTGGTATATTTGCAAACATTGATCAGATGAGACGTACACCTTGTTTTAAATTAATTAACTTTTGTAACGGAGTTTAGCTCAATGAAAAATGGCATTGACTTACATACTAGAGGTCTCAGGTTTGAATCTCTACGTCGTCATAGTCGTGTATGTGTGAGAAATTTCTCACCCCTCTAGTTTAGACTATCCTCTCAACATCCATTAATTGTTTGAATGTAAAGGAATCTTATTATAAGGCTTCGTTTAGTTCACGAAACGGATTTGATGGGAAATTACTTCCCATGTAATTTTCCAAGGGTTGAGAAATGAAAGATTCATTTCCCACGTTTGGTGATGTTGGAAAAGTAACTGAGAGATATCACTTTATTTCCTTTCCCAGGTTTGCTTTGAGTAGGAATGGAAAACAAAGTTTGTATAATTTTTCAATTATATCCATATTAAATAAAATAAAATAAAATACATTTAATGATATATTGTAATTCTAAATTGTACAAAATGGTCACACAAAAAAATGTATTTAATGTTGGTTCATTTTTCCAAACTTTCTCATGAGGAGGGAAAACAAAACCCACGTTGGGAGGAGGGCTTCACTTTCTTACTTTCTCATGGGCTAGGCAACGAAATCTCATGCCTCTAGATAAATATGAGAAAACAATTGATTTTCCATCCCCAAGTCTTCTGTCCTATGAACCAAACGGACCTAAAATTTTAAAAAAAAGATTAATCTACATTATCAGGAAGGTATGTTGACATGGTCCATAAACACATAATTAATTTTGCAGAGAACATCAAACTATATACATGTGTTAATCATAAATTAATTATACAATCCAATTAGATTGAGCTCGATCAAGCGTGGCCCCAACACTAATGCCGACCAGGTCGGCATCAATATCACATTCACATGCCCTATTAAAGGTGGAAAATTTTCTCTTTATATATTTCAGATGTTTGGGCATGATTCAAATGAAATTTGATTGTCATCCATACTCTCTTTCTTTTCATTGAACC